TATTCAAGTGATCAAAAAAGCTAACTTGCCCAATAAAGGGTTAAAGTGCAGTGAAAATAATATATTATTATTTTTATAAGAAATATGCAGATCAATACTCTACCTTAAGCACCTTTAGTCATGAAGTAAGTCAGCACACTCAAAGTCAACACGGCAGTCCAAGGTTTGGGGTATAGGAAGATGACAAACAATTAGACAACAAGAGAAAATCTGTAACTTGTGAAGTTGTTAAAAAAACGTATGCCTGAAGTTTTTTAGACTCTCTCAAAACACAACAATGTGATGAAAATGTTGGGTCAAGGCCTGCATGCTCCATATGAGTGTAGTTCTCTCTGGCCTGAATATCACACAACTCTCAATTAATGAGTTTCAAAACCCCTGAGAAGTCCTCACAGGTTCATCCCATTTTAAAGTTCCTACCAGTCATACACTATTCGTCAAAAATCACCCAAGAAAACAAGTTCTGCCTGGAATATGTGTCACGAAGCAGCAGCAACAACTCTCAAAGCAAATCTGAAAGATGTGTTTTGTTCTTGCAGCCCTGGGAGACAAAACAAATCATTCTGTTCCTGTGGACTACAGTATGTATCAGGCTTAGGTCCCAGAGGAAATTAAAGGGTTCGATTATGACTGGGATTTTACCATATATCTTCAGAGCTAATACAGTCTTTCTTCATCATTTCAGAAAATAGAAGTGCAATATTGAGCTGTATAAGTAATGAAAAGGGTAAAACTATGAATATGCAGCATTTTTCTAGTTCTACAATATGGACACTTTTACCATAATCATCAATTTCTGCTATAAAGCTAAAGGTATAATTTTTCTATTTTATTTTACAGGATCAATAAAATCCACCCAGGAATTGCTTTAGCTGTTAATGCTATGTCCTTAACGAAGGAACAGGTGATTTTAAAACAAGATAATATTTGGTTTACATTGGTAATCTAAATGGGTCGCCTAAATGGGTTAATGGTAATGATACTTTATTGTTTAGATATATTCTTGGTCCGATTTTCTTTGGGTATTTTGATGTCACCAAATAGCGTTTTCACTTTTGTAAGTCACTGAAAAGTCTTGATTTTTTTTCTTCTTCTGGTATAAAGGAAATGAGGCTGAAATAGGAGCTGATTTAATCTCCAGCTCCTTTTTTTCAGCAGGTTTAAGCTTCCACAAGACTACTGGACCAAACTAAGCTACATGCGATTTCAAATTATGACAAATTACTGCTAATAATCCATGAAGCACATTATTCTTGGAATGTCCCAGCTTTGTTGTCCCTAATATGAATGCCTTGATCCTAAGAAACAATCAGATTTGAGCCTCCTCTTTAAAGTTCAACTTATTTCTGTTTTCAAACATGTTTACAGGTCTTTAAACATGATCACAATTAAATTTAATTTGGTTCAGTTTTTAAATTAGCAGCTCACAGAAGAGGCTGTTCCAGGTACACCTTCTGATAAAGGTCTGAACTGTTCTTTCGACCTCCTGGAATGGTGATCCAAGGCCTATAATAATAATGACATTTAAAACAGAATTTGGTGCAGAAGATGTAAATTAGTCATGACTCGTTTGAACTAACACAAACTGCTGTGTACCTCAGGCTCGCTTGTTCCCCCAGAGTCTTACATTCTCTTAAAGGGATACTGTGTAAGAACTACTGCCATCTAGGATTAAATGGGGGTATTTCACTCAAACCAACGCTAAAACCAAACATGTCACTGCCTCAAACACGCTTTGTGTCAAACGCAGGTGTAACCATATCATCTGATACTTCATGAAGTTCTAACAAAGTTGAAAAAGTTCATGATTGCTTAAATTATGTAAACTTTATTATAAGATAAAACATTAAAGAAAATAAAAAAAAGTGCACAGACACAGCAGTAAATTGTATGTTTACACAGTTTCAAAAGCTGCGGTCATGGAGGCTGACTGAACAGTGTGAAGTCTCTACTCGCTGGCATTTACTGTGACAAAAAGCATTGTGGTTTGAAAGCTGCTTAAATCTACTATTATGCTTTTTATGGTAATGAGCAACACTGTCTAATTAAACCGAATGGAAAAAAAGTAATTTCTCCTTGAAATGTCAAGGAGAAACATGGTAACCTAAGTGTCCCTTTTGCAGCATTTCTCCTCCACTAGTTCCTTCCACTTGGAGAAGGCTTGTTTATCCTGATATTTTATTTTGTTTTTGTTCTTTTAAGTTCTCTTTTTCGCTTTGTCTGGGATGATGAATCCGTTTTTTGTGCTGCTGCTGCCTATGTTTGCTCCTGTATTGTGCTGAAGTAGTGCAAACTTTCAGTTGTTGAATCAGCATCTCCAAAAGATCTTCACCTCTGCCTCTCATGACTGTCCTGCCACCAACAAGAAACCTGTTGTTATTCTGCGTGTTAGTACCTCTTTATCCCTGTCTGTACTTTGAAGATGACACACTGCCATGGCGATTTAATAAAGAGTGACCAGCCTTATGCATAAACTAATTCAATATTCCTCTCTAACAAAAATGTATCAAATTATAAGTGGAGGTAATGATGCACAAATAATAACACATATTTAAATGCAGTAATTCATTTCATGCAGTAAAAGAGAGAAATTGTTATACGTCATTTCAAATCTTGAGAAGCTTCATGTGTCTGAGTTAGGGATTCATAATAAGTTTGGGTGAAAAAAAGTGACTTCCTCTTTTCCTAATAATAAAGTTTGTTTGTGTTTTCGAGGGGGGGGGGGCGGTCTTGGGGGGGATCCCTGACTGTTTTGTGTGGAAATATGTTGTTTGGAGGGAGGGAAGGAAGGAATTAAGATAATCCAGCAAACAACAACTGCAGAGGAGGAGTATAAATGCCAAACAGAAAAAAGAATGGAATAATCAACGGATTGGGAGCAGGCGTGGATAGAAGGAACTAGAAGGGAGCTAGGGGAAAGGAGAATGGCATAAGGGGGAACAGAGAGTAAACAAGAAATACATAAAAAACTCGAGAACACCCAGAAAAACTAGAATGACATAAAATGGAAAACAAACCATCCATCCATTTTCCATCACCCTTCTCCCTGCTGGGTTTACGAGGGGTGCCCGTGCCTAGCTGTTAATTAATCCCGCGAGAGGCGGGGTACACCCTGGACAGGTCACCAGTCTATTACATGGCAACACAGATTCTGAAAAAACAAACACTGTTCCACTGTGCAGCCAGAAAAGAAACCAATTACCTAGAAAACACAGAAAGACATCAAAGTGTAAATAAAAACTGAAGAAAACAGAAACAGGAAAGGCAGAATCGTGACAGTTTGAAGGTGGTTGAAGTGTCTGTAACATGCTCTTACTCTCAATAAAGTCACAGCAGCCACAAAGATACGTTTCAAAATATTTATAATTTGAGCAAGGAATGAACACATGGCCTTCCACCATCAAAAAAAATAATGACTTACATACATACCCAAGATGAGTTAAACAGATTTCTGCAAGTCGCAATGGCGTAACAACACAACAATAGGCCAGTAAGCAACATTACATACGAAGTACAACACCGATTGGGACCCCCCCTCCTCTGCTGCCGCTGCCGTAGACTACGAACCAAAATGTGCCCCTAACATACACACTTCATCATTTCATCATTCATCACCTTCACTAGACATGGATATACTTTAGTGTATTTTGCTGGAAAATGAGTCTTATCGGGCTACCTTGAGTTTCACAGCTCGCCTCCTCACCCACACTCTCTCCATTCATCTCCTGGTCACAATCTTTACTCACTGTAGCAGCAACGTCTTCCATTCCTTCTTTGATTCTTTGAAAGAACGTGTTTATTTTGGGAAGTTTTTTCTGTTCTTCCAGCAGCTTGCTTTTTCTTTTCTGGAATCTGCTTAAGTACCTCTTTTTGGTATCCATTGTCGCTAACACATTGTACGTAACGGTTATGGTTTTAATCTACGCTCTGGATTACCCATAATTCCAAGTCGTAGTCTAAAAATTAAAATACTCAAATACATTGTTCTTTTAAGATCTTTATTTCGATTTGAAACATATTATGGTAAAATATTTTTTACCAACCGTCTAATGAACTATACAGTTATTAACATAGTAATTAAAAGTACCACTGCCTCTTTTGTTGTTGATGTCGTGTTTAAACAGCTCACCATTATGCTGAAATCTGGCATGCGTTGGGGTATAAATAAGGTCCGGTTGGTCAACCTAGCATCAGCTGGGTTTAAGACGAATTATTCGCACCATTACGTTTGCAACGAGATGTCCTAGTCCACAATTGCGTAGGGGGCCAACCAGGTGTCAGTGACGGGGGCCCTAAGAGGTTGGGGGCCCCCAAGCAACTGCATACTCTGCTTACTGATAGTTACGCCATTGAGTTAGAACCTATGAAACAACTGAATTATGCCTGACAGCAGCTCCTCCTGAATATTAGAGAAGTTCATCTGCATTCATTAAACATTTCAGCCTCAACCTGAGTCGGATTAATCATTAAATGGAGATATTTTTGTAAAATTATTTTTATAAAGAGCATTTTTATTCAAATAAAGACAGACCTTAAAGCTCATTTTGGTGACGCGAAAAGATATATTCCAAATACAAGCTTATTCTTAACATTTTTAAAAAGGTAGAACTGTTAAAAAACATTTCAGCAGTGTCTATTTTTTCAACTTCAGACATTACTAAAAGTAGAAAACTAAAAATGTAAAAAAAAAAACAGTCAAAATTGTAACTGCACTGTTGCAGTAAACAACTTTTGTGTATGTTTGTGGGTTTTTGTGGTTGCTTTTCAGTGTAAACTATTGTGTTCTTGTTCCACTTATTTCCAGGACAGCCTGTAGGTCAATGCTTGTGGTGCATATGTCATTGTTTAGGAGATGTTTCTAACTCATTGGTATTCAAGGAGATTTTTGGAGCTTGGAAGTCATTCAATGCGGCAATGAAACGGTTAAGAGTCACATGGTATCGGGTGGTATTATCAGCCTGGGGCTGCAAAAAAAAAAAAAAAAAAAGTGTATGGGAGAAAAAAAAAACCCTATGGGGAACAAAGAAATCAGAGTATATTTAAGGGGAAGTCTCCCTGGATCCTGGAGCCGTGTGGCTGTTGGATCTGACTGCACACCTCACCTCTGCCTGCTTGTGCACCTCCATCCATCACGGCTCCTGACGGACGGCGCTGAGGATGCGGACTTCTCTGGTCGTGTGCTTGTGGGTGTTTGCGCTACAGTGTTTGCAAAGCATGCTTGGCGCTCCAGTGCGCGGAGCCGGCAGGTACAAAGCGGCACCGGTGAGTTTCAGCTTTTAAACTTTATGTAGGAGATTTCTTTCTTCTCTTTTTAGTGTAAAAAGAGGAAACATCTTTGCACATCACTGCTGCCAATTATCTTTATTCAGCTGGATCCCCACCTCCACATGCAAGGATGCCTGGACATTAACGCGCAACAGGTTGTTAGAAAAGTGAAGTTTGCGCCTCATATGTTTGCTGTGTGAAATGTAATTACAGCAGTTCAGCAAGCAGTCAGAATCATCAGGACAAATTGACTGATATGATTAGGAAAATGGTTATTTTTGGCCCCCGCTGCTTTTGACCTGTCGCTGTAATAAAACACAAAAGCTGTCCAAACCAAGACTATTATCACCATTTATCATTTTGTCTGCTCAGCATCAACAAAAACATGCTGTTTAGACTATGAGCATCCTAATAGATATATACCACATGCAGGATGACTTATGAGTGTCCCAAACTGCCAAAATGAAATAAAAAAATAGATAAATATAGATTAAAACTGTATCAACAAAGCGATCCATGTGAAATCACTGCAAGTGGTTTAAAAAAATGTATTTCCTTTGTTATTTTTCTCTTATCTGATAGTATAACAATGCACAATTATTCCTATTTGTTGGATTTAGCAATTAGATCTTTGAATTATTTTACGGAATTTAGTCCCGTAAAAGTTTTTTTTCAGTGTTAAAAAGTTAAAAAGCGGAGTTCTTAACTCTGTCTTAGGCATAGCAATTCACTAAGTTTTACAAAGACTGACTGTATGTGCTCCTTTTTTTGTTTTTGCACTTCAGTTCTTGCTTTAAACCATCTAGTCTGCTTCGTTTCTCTTCTAGATGACGCCGTTGCAGGAGATACTCCCACTACATTTTTACCTTTCTCTGTCTTAGAGAGCTCTCCTGGATCAGTGCTCCTGCATTCCTTTCAGTCTGGTTCTGGTTTTTCTGGAGGTTACTTCATTTTGTATACACTCTGTGAATACAAAATGACAATAAAAGTTGTATAAGTCTTCCTGTTAAATGAAAGTTTTCCTCTCTACTGTTGACACATGCATGTTCAGTATAAGAGATTGCTGCAAAGTCTCTAACACAATGCCAGAACATTTCCACTTCTGCTACAGGCTCTTTTAGGAAGACTGAAGTCAGGCGTGCTATGCAACCTGCTGATTTCTTTAGAAGGACACTTTAACCAATCTGCCTGATTGATGATGATTTGACTGGATTTAAATTTAAAGTGATTTCAAATAATAAGTGTTGTAGAATTGGCAGCATGAAAATTAGCTGATTTGATTATGATTCAGAGGCTGATTTACTATATATTATGATATATTATTGGAATACAAAACAACAGTGTTTGTGTTTTTTTTTTTCTTTTAGTAGATGCTAATTGAGATTGTTACTTTACCTACATCAAACACAATTGATAGATGTTTAGGTATATTGCACAATTAGGACAATCGTTCTAATGGTCTCTTGTAACACACCATCAGGGAGTAATCATACCAGGAATAAGTGCTTGGCAAAGGTTCCTAGATCTGCAGTGAATGTGAAATAACTGGCATTAGGGGACAAATGGACATGTTCTTTTTGGCTGTTTGAATAATACAGAGTTTGATGCATATGTGCACCAATAGGCATCAAGGAGTAAGCTTAATTAAATGTTTCACTTTTTTTTCTGTTCAGAAAATTTTCATTTCCAGGACTTCCCCTTAAATTTTTTTTTTTTTTTTGTCCTCCTTATCTTTAATTTGCTATTTTTGGTTTCTCTCTTTATTTTTTAAAAATGTGATCAAGTAAATTAGAAACTAGTAAAGCCATGACTCAAGTGTTGATAGACTATATGAAGGCATAGATTTTTTCTTATTATTATTTGTTATTATTCTGGCAGTTTTGATCCTCCATAAACAAGCAGAGTGTTGTGATTTCTGCAGCCAGGTCTGATCATTGGGGAGGAAAGAGTGAAGAAATTGTGAAGGTTGCTGAGCTCCACTGCGGGCATGGCAGGAAGCTGTAATAACAGGCCTTAAAGGCATTTAGTCAACAACACCATAAAAAAAAGAGGTCCAGCATTAGGAGCAGTCCTGATGGCGACAGTCGGTGGATTGTAAAATTAACTCATTACTATCTTTAATCTGCTCCTAAATCACATGCTGTAGTGATTATTGTATTCTGTCATTACAGGAGTCTCTTGTGTTTTGTTTACCACCCATCTGCCATCAAATTACAACTTCTATGGGTAAATATTTAAGCCCGTTTACAGAGAGTGGATTGTTTGGCATGCAGGCCTCCTTCAGAGGAATGTTCTGTTTACAGGTACACAGACAAAAACAGTTTATCAAGAGGAGGGAGCAGTTTGCGATGCACAATGACTCAGAAGAATAAAGTTGTTACTGAGAATAGTTGTCAAGTTGCAGAGAAATGTTTGACCTATTTTAGGATGTGTGGTTTTTCTGGAGGTATCTGTAAATCATGCTTAGTAGAGGGTGCGGTCTATAGAAAAGCTGCAAAGATCCTGACAGGGAGAACCATAAATTCCTTAAGGTTGGAACATCTGTCAGCCAGGAAAGAACAAGCATCAAATGATCCGAGGTGAGAGATAAACAGGGACAGAGAAGGAACCGTTACCTGAAGCATTTATTTGGTGCTTTCACTAGATTTATATGCAGGTGAAGTCATGCCTGGACAAGTCTGGCAGCATCTAACTTTCATGATCACAAGAGTTTATTGGTAAGATGTGCTGGCATGGAGATGCCGTTTGGTGTTTATTGGTCTGATGCCCGTGGACAGAGTGGCCCTGATAAAGCCCACCGCCCAGGGCAGAATCAGCTTTTGAAGAAATCACTTATTTTAGCTCTTTTAATGTTCAATTAATGATGAGGCTACAGCCCAAAATGAATACAGGTGTCCCTGTGCAACAGCTGCAACTGCCTGATATGGGGCTCCATCGTGAGCAGATTTCTGAGCCATCTTTTAATACTCTGTTCTTGCAGGCAGGGAGCTAAAACCCTAAAATAGTCGCCATGAAAGGCTGGACATGACATTCAATCGTGCTTAGTTCCAACTGGGTGGTACATGTCCAGGTAACACCAACATAGGGGGTAGGGCCCAAGGTTTAGCAGAGCCTTACTCGCATCCCCATAACGCATGGCGAGGCGATGTGTTCCTCAGCTAGCCCAGGCACACACATTCAGCCATTCATCCATGTGATGTCAAAGAAAACACCATTCATCAAAGTCAGGAGACATTCTTCTAGCGCTCTGTGATCCAGTTCTGATGCTCATTGTTAAAGCTTTTGGCAATGGACAGGGGTCAGCATGGCCTCACTGGCTGGTCTCCAGATATGCAATTCTGTGTGCCACAAACAGATGTACTGTATGTTTTGACATCTTTCTATTAAAACCAGTGGTAACTTCATCAGAATTTTGAGCTAGAGAAGTTCATCTGTTGGTTCTGACCATGTTTCACTCCTCATGTGTGAATAAATCAGAGCCAACCACGACCCTGTCCCTGCAGCCCCTCTGCTACCTCTTTATAATACCGTATTTTCCGGACTATAAGCCATTACTTTTTCCCCACGCTTTGAACCATGCAGCTTATAAGAAGGTGCGGCTTTTCTGTAGGTTTTTCCTAATCACCAGAATGGGAAGTTAAAGTTGGAAATGAATTAATTCAATTCAATTCAGTTTATTAATATATCGCCAATTCACAAAACATGTCATCTCAAGGCACTTCACAGATCATACAGTCAAATTGATTCAAAGTTTTCTATCTAAGGAAAACCAGTTGATTGCATCGACTCATTGACTCGAATGCAATCTCTCACACTAAGCATGCTTGTAGCGTCAGTGGAGAGGAAAAACTCCCTTTTAACAGAAAGAAACCTCGAGCAGAACCAGGCTCAATGTGAGTGGCCATCTGCCGAAGCCGACTGGGGTTAAAAAATAAGGGCCCTATTTTCATTTAGCACAAAAACATTGTAGCAGTAGGCACAAGGGAGAACAAGTGTCCCAAATTCACATTTGGACATTTATTTGCCACATTAAAGCTGCTGAACCAGTAAAGAGACTAGGCTTTACTCCTGCAGAGCTGAAATGAAGAGTGAATTTTAAGCTGTAACTACTGCGAGCCAATAAGCTAACGGGAGCTAGCGTTCTTCTTTGTCCCTACCCCAGGGGCTATATGTAGAGCTCCCCCTACAGGTTTTAAATCAGAAATCAGAAATACTTTAATAATCCAAGAGGTAAATTACTTTTGTTACACTCTCCAGTTACAGTTACATATATATATATATATATATATATATATATATATATATATATATATATATATTAGGGCTGCAACTAACGATTATTTTAAAAATCGATGAATCGGCCGATTATTTTTTAGATTAATCGATGAATCGTACAAAAAATATTTTTTACATTAACCTTTTTATTCCAAAATAAACATTTTAGACAGAACAAACACACAAGTACAGGTTGCTCATTAACTGTACTGGTGCAATATGAAAAATTAATGTTTGTGTTAAACAATAGGCCCCCCCATTTCAACAAATTAGTTTTTTTTAGACTAGAAGACTTCTGCCTTTTAAGACAGGAAAGTATAGCAGTTAAAGTTGCTACTTGAGAAAATACATAACCATAGAGATAAAAATAGCCCTGTGATTCAAATTATAAATTGTATTTGGAATAAAAATGAGAGAACTAGGGGTGCTAAAAAACACATCCTCCAAAGACAGATATTTACATGGGAATGTGGCATAAAATGAATTGACCTATCACTTCACTTCCATAAAATACAGGATCTTCTTTACTTTATCTTTGCCAGAAGATTTAAACTTTAAAAGCCTTGCCCTCATAATTTGCAAGTTAATTTATTTATAAAGAAAATATAAACGCTGCTCAAGCTAATTCAAATGAAATTAAAAGTAAAATAAGTAGCCAACCTTATCACTGCTTCCGTGCCATGTTAATTTGTTTTTACAAAAGTTGCATGTTACGACTTTTT